AGAGAGAGAGAAAGAAAGAAAGAAAGAAAGAAAGAAAGAAAGAAAGAAAGAAAGAAAGAAAGAAAGAAAGAAAGAAAGAAAGAAAGGCTTGCTCGGACCATAGGTGGACCATATTTATTCCTGGCAAGGCGGCATCTTGCCATCCACATGTGTAGATGACCAAAATGCCTACAGAGAGAGATGGGATGCAGCCCCTTATAGGGGCAGAAATGACTTTCACAGTCCGAAAGGGAAGCTGGGAAGTGTAGTCTTTCAGCAGGAAGCTATCAGTCCTAACTCTGAGAGGATATAAAATATGCAGGACAGGGACATTATAGCTGTTTCTGCTGAGGAGAGTCTTTGTTAGAGGGAGGAGTCGTGGGTCCATTGGGGGAGGGGCTTCTAGTCATGTAACTTGATTGACTTTGATGGATCAGGTGATTGCCATTTTGCATTCCTGGAGAGATTTGGAAAATAATTATTAGAGGGCTGTAAGCAGATGATTTGGTTACAGAGCGAAACCAAGAGATTCCCAGGAAGGCTGAGGGATTGGGAGGAAGACAGGTGGGAGAAAATGAGCATAGAGTTGATTCAGGGTGGCAGTGACTGTCCCATCACCAGGACTGCTGGACTAAAATGAGCCAGCAGAAACAGCAGGGAGCTGCAGAGCATCAAAGGAAGGAGACAGGAGAAACAGGGGCTGATGTAAAGAACTGTATCTGGCTCAGGGTGAAAGGGATGACGTTCCCTTTAGCCTGTTTCTCCACAGCACCTAAAAGGTCTTTTTGCAGATGTATCCGGAACACAGGGAGCTGTTGTAGGGTGAGAGCATTGGGAGAGCTTGCGCGGGACGTTTTGTTTGGGTATAGGGTAAAGTTCTGTAAGTAAAGCATTTAAAAATGGGGTAAAAACGTAAGAGTGGGGATAACGAGGAGGAAAGAGGGGAATAATGCAGCAGGCAGGGAGTCGAGCTGGTCCTGAAGGATGTGAAGCTCGTCTGAGCTGGTCCTGAAAGATGTGAAGTTCATCTGAGCTGGTCCTGAAGGATGTGAAGTTCGTCTGAGCTGGTCCTGAAGGATGTGAAGTTTGTCTGAGCTGGTCCTGAAGGATGTGAAGTTTGTCTGAGCTGGTCCTGAAAGATGTGAAGTTTGTCTAAGCTGGTCCTGAAGGATGTGAAGTTTGTCTGAGCTGGTGCTGAAGGATGTGAAGTTCTT